ATGCTGACCAAGGGTCAGAAAATTCAAGGATACCTACACTCTTTCTTTTAAAATAGGAGGTTTGACCTTGGGAGGGGCTGCCTTCAGGATAGTGGTCTAGGGTGGGTTCACTGCCTAAATAACAAAATGCTAATGATTTGCTGTCTCAAAGTATTAAAGAAAGTAACTCTTCTAATTGTCCTTTGTATCATGTTAAAGAAGAGTTTTGTTGCCTTCTCCCCATGCCCCTTGTATTGGGGTATAAAACTGTCTGAAAAATTCAATGTAGGTGGATTTCAGTATTCACTGGAACTCCTTCGCTATACTAGTCTATGTTTCTGTTCTATTATTTCACTCATGTCTTTGTACTCTTTACTATTTTTCTGAACCTTATGCCTCTACCATGGTAAGAGGTCTTTTTATTGAAGTTAGTCTCTGACACCCTTGTAGTGATATTTCATTTGTATTTTGATAAATAAAGCTTGCCTGAAAACCAGAATGCAAAAAAGTCACATTAGTCAGTCATAGAGATCAGACAATGGTGGCATACACCTTTTATCCCAGCAGCCAACACTAGTTAGCCATAGAGGCTAGGCAGTGGTGGTGCACACCTTTAATCTCAGCACTAGAGAGGACTATAACATGGGCTGAGACAGGAACTCACTCTCTTTTAGTCTGAAGGTTTAATAGAGGTAATAGCTCTCTAGTGGCTTGGCTGCTTTGCTTTTCTGATCTTCACGTTGAAGCCCAATATCTGTCTCTAGGGTTTTTTTTTTTCTTTTTAATTCATGCTACACTCCCTGGTTATTGATTTAGACTCTGAGTTCCTGATAAGCCAGGTTAGTTGTTTCCATTTTGGACTTTCTTGTGATGTCCTTGACCCCTTGGCTCCTATAAGCCTTCTTCCCTTCTTCACCTTGAGCTCAGCCTGATATTTTTCTGTGAGTCTCTGCATCTATCAGTTACTGGATGAAGGTTCTCTGATGACAATTAGGGTAGTCACCAATCTGATCATAGAAGATGGCTAGCTCAGGTTAAGAATCCACTATGCTAATGAGTCTTAGCTGGGTTCATTCTTGTAGATTGCTGGGAGATTACCTTGTACCAGATTTCTACCTAACCCCTCAAAGCACCCTTTTCCAGTCATCTCTTTCAGTACTCTCTCTCTCTATCTCCCCCAACCTAATCCCTTAAGTTCCCAACCCCACCCATGCATGTCTATGTAGATGAGCTTTTCTATTTCCCCCTCCCAGGGAGATCCACACATCCTCCCCTTGGACCCACCTAACCTCTCTGGGTCTGTGGATTATGTAACATGATTATCCTTTATTTTACAGCTACTATCTACTTATAAGTGAGTAATATACTATGTTTGTTTTTCTGGGACTGGGTTAATCACTTGGGATGATTTTTTTCTAGTTCCATTTCATTTGCCTTTAAATATCCTGATGTCATTGTTTTTAATAGTTAAATACTCTATTGTGTAAATATTTACCATATTTTCTGTATCTATTTTTTGGTTGTGGGGAGTAAGTCTTGGTTGTTTCTAGCTCTTGGTTATTATGAATAACACATCTACGAACATAGATGAGCAAGTGTTCTTGTGGTATAATTGAGCATCCTTTGGGTATATGACCAAGAGTGACATAGCTGGATCCTCTGGTAGATTGATTCCCAGTTTCCTGGGAAACTGCCTTACTGATTTCCAAAGAAGCTGTATGAGTTTGCGTTTCCACCAGAAATGGAGGAGTGTTCCCCTTGCTCCACGTCCTCTCCAGTAGAAGACTTTGTGTTTTTGATCTTATTCATTCTGACAGGTATAGGATGGAATCTCAGAGTTGTTTTGATTTGAATTTCCCTCATGGCTAAGGATATTGAACAGATTTTTAAAAAAGTGTTTCTCTGCCATTGGTGATTCTTCTGCTGAAAATTCTCTATTTACGTCTGTACCCTATTTTTAAACTGGATTTTTTTTTGGTATCTAGTTTCTTAAGTTTTTGTATATTTTGAAGATAGGCCCTCTGTCAGATGTGGGGTTGGTGGACATCTTTTCTCATTCTGTAGGCTGCTATTTTGTCCTATTGGCAGTGTTCTTTGCCTTACAGAAGCTTCTGAGTTTCAATAGGTTCCACTTATTCATTGTCAATTTTAGCGTCAGTGCTGCTAGTATTCTATTCAGGAAGTTGTCTCCTGTACCAGTGTGTTCAATATATATGTTCTCTTCTATCAGGTTTGGTGCAACTGGACTTAAGGTGAGGTCTTTGATCCACTTGGACTTGAGCTTTGTGCAGGATAATAGATATGGATCTATTTACATGCCAACATCCATTATGCCAGCACCATTTGTTGAAGATGCTTTTTGATGTGTGAATTTATGTCTGGGTCTGCAGTTTGGTTCTATTGATCCACCTGTTTTATGCCAATATGGCCAATGTTCTATGGTAGAGCTTGAAATCAGGGAAGGTAATACCTCCAGAATCTCTTTTATGTATAGAATATTTCCAGGGATTTTGAGGCAAAAAAAAATCTCTGGGGAGATAATACAGAGAGGCTAATTAATTCAGAAATAATAACACTTAAAAATCTAACTGATAAGGAAATGCTTTATTGGGTCATATAAATCTTACAGAGAAGTTGAGATTTATTGGGAATCAGAAAAATAGCATGATTTGGAAATTATTTAGGAGGACATATTACCATAATTATATTTTAAGACCTACCATTTTAGAGCTTTATTTGGCAAATGCTTTTTAATTATCAGATTCCCCCCTCACATTGGCATTTAAAATATAAAGAAGACAAAAAATAAACTTTAAATAAAAATCCCTGTCTTCACAAAAGACAACAACAGTTTAAGATAGGAGATCTTGTGGAAAGTGTATTATTCTAGTCAGCTTCAATTGTCAACAAGACACATCACAGTGTCATCTGAGAGAGCAGCTGCCACTGAGGAGTTCCCTAGATCAGATTGGTTTGTGGCCACGTTTAAGGGACATTGTCTGGATGGCTAAGTGATGCAAGAAGATCCAGCCCACTGTGAGTAGCACTATCTTTAGGGATCTATTCTGTGCTGTACAGAAAATCCAGCTAAGTATAAGCCAATGAGTGATTGAGCTAGGAAGTACAGCATTTTTTTTTTCATGGTTTCTGACTCAAGTGCCTGCCCTTAGTTCCTTCAAAGACAGACCACGAACTGGAAATTGTAAGACAAATAAACTTTTCTTCTCCTAAGTCTGTTTTAGTTAGAGCATTTTGCTATAGCAACAGAAAGGAAACTAGAATGCACACTGACTTGGAAACTCGTCCATCTAGTTCCCACAAAAAAATCACTTTTGAGCCTGAGTTACTTGAATTGTAATAAAATTGAAGGTTACAGCAAAACTAACCATTTTATAGTCACATAAATGTTATTTAGTAACAAATAATGCAATTTGAGTCCTATCTTTATTCTGTATCTTCTTAAACCTTACAAAAGTGAGAATATAGACATGAAAATACCTTCTAACATGTTATAAATTATTTCTAAGCTATGACTTAGAAAACAGATCTACAAAATACTACAAAATTGTTGTGTAAAGTAATGGTCAATGTTAAAAAAGATCAAAGCACGAGGTTTCATAGTAAGAAGCCTGAGAAAAACATGGGCACACTGTTTTCCATCCAATAGTTCTATAAATCACCCCAAAATATGGATGCAAAATGAAGAAGGATGATATATTGTCGTAGCTAGCTTCAGTTGACAATTCAACACTATTGGGAAGCAGGAGCTTCAGCTGAGTAGTTGTCTCCACAGGATTGGCTTATGAGTGTATCTATTGAATAGTCTCTTGATTGACAAGTGATGTAAAGGGGAGACAGAGCACTATGGGTTATCCACCCCTGAGCAGGTAGACCTAAGCTAAGTAGTAAAGGGAGCTGAGCAAGCCAGGAGAAGCAAGTCTGTAAGCAGTGTTCCTTTGTGATCCCTGCTTCAGCTTCTGCCTCCAGGTTCCTGCCGTGGCTTCCATTGATGATGGATTATAAAGTGCGAGTTGAAATTAACACTTAACTTCTCAAATTATTTTGGTCATGGTGTCTATTACAGTAATAGACCTAAGCTAGAACATATGTATTCTAGTTCTTAGTTGAGACTGAGACTAATTCTCTAGGTTAAGATTCTTTTGTTTTAGCCCTATTGATTGTAGACCAGGCTCCATGAGCTTACAGACTTTTTAAATTAGAGAGAAGAGGTGCCAATAAACAGGTGACCAAGTAAGACATTTAGTGGAGGGATTGGGACACCAACCCAGTCACATAACCTTCAAGTACAAGAGGCACAGAGGTTGAAGGACTGGTCCAGCCTGAGACCTAGCCTACCCCTGACACAGCCTGGCACACCACCAACCATAGGATGGATGACCCGGAGACCTAGGAGAGAACCAAACATGACTAGGGAAAAAATGTCAATATAACGATGCCGAATGATATTCTGCTGTTTTGATACCTAATCCAATTGCCATCAGTTACTAATGGAAACAGATGCAGAGACCCACAGACAATTAATTAGGTGGAGCTTGGGGAATCCTGCTGAAGAGAGGGAGGATTGTATGAGCCAGAGGGGTCAAGGACTTCATGAGAAAACCCACAGAATCAACCGACCTGGGCTCACAGGGGCTCACAGAGACTGGACTGACAACCAGGCAGCCTGCATGGGACTGATCTAGGCCCTCTGCATATATGGGACAGTTGTGTAGCTTAATCTTTTTGTGGGATTCCTAAGAGTGGGAGCAGGGGCTGTCTCTCACTCTCTTACAGGCTATTGGGACCCCATTCCTCATACTGGGTTTTCTTGCCCAGCCTTAATACAAGGGGAGGTTCTTAGTCTTACTACAACTTGATATGCCACATTTTGTCGATATCCACCAGAAGTCTGCCCTTTTCTAAACAGAAATGGAGGAGGAGTGGATGGGGGCGGGAGGCAGAGTGGAGGTGGGGAGAGCAATTGGGAGGAAGGGAAAGAGGGGAAAGTGTGATGAAAAAAAAAAAAACAGACAGCAAAGTTTATTCCAGAAATTAATGAATCAATGAGATGTGCATATGTGTGTGTGTGTGTGTGAACATAGCTTTCTAGTAAAATAATACCAAATTGAATAAGGACAAGCCAAAGGACACATTTTATTTTTATGAGAAGAACACAGGAACATTAATTGATTTTAAGGAAGGAGCAGAGACTCAACTTTAAAAGCTCAGGAAAATATTAAGGCTTATATATCCTGGCACCAAAACTTACCACTGACTAGGCAGTTTTAAGCAGTACAAATTTGTTATCTCACAGTATTTGGGATTTAAAGTTTGAAATGGATCTCAGTAAGATAAAAATCAAGATTCGGACAAGGTTACATCCATTCTGAAAGATCTGAAAAATGTATTTGGCAGCCACAATTTTTTTGATTGGTAGGCATTCCTGGATGTGTGTCTCCATCTTCAAAACTAGCAATGACTGGCCTAGTCTTTCCCAAGATGCATCAGTCTGACCTTGGCTTTCTATCTACCAGTCTACATTTAAAAGACCCTTGTGATTATATGGAGCTCCCTGGGATGGTACAGGTTAATATCTTTATATTAAATCTTCCTTTTTGCAACTCTCATTCTAATGTATTCTTAATTCTTTTTGGTCGTGTAAAATAACATAATACTTTGTGGGGATTCAGATACTGACATTGTGTATGGTGCCATTATTCTTATCAAACATGAAGAAATCAAGGAAGACATAAAAACAAAGGAAAAATATGAACTTTGTCTCACTGGGTCACAAGATTGCATATTAATCCTTCTTGCTTTATCCATTGATATTTTTCATGCATTATAAATGTAAAAATCTCAGTTTACTATTGGGATTTTCAAGGCAAATTCCTTGTGGTTCCTGTAATGCTATATTAATTTGGGACAGGTATGTTAAACATATCATGTGATTATGCAGACTAATATAACTTTATTGTTCTTTCATCCATAACAAAATTCAGCTGGCTATTTATATATTACTAAAAGATAACAAAGGAATGTATGAGCAAAAAAGGAAACCCAGTAGCTTATGTGAAAACAATGCCAAGCAAGCAGGTCTAGCCTGTAGCTCACTAACTGTGTGTTATAAATGTAACCCCTACAAGGAGCTGTGAACTCACTTAAAACACCGTTATAAGTTTTATGTCTATTTTTGCGAGTTGATTAAACAGTTCTCAAGTGTGAACTTTGTCGACAGCATCACCACATAATGTCAAAACTTTAGACAGATGGGCAAAGTGTGTCTTAGCATTTCCTGTCAGGTATTTTAGTCGGGTGAAAATATACAGTAATATCTTTTGAGGTGAACGGAATCATTCTTTGTAAATGTAGGTGTATAAATGGAATCCTCAGTAAATATAAGTCTACTTATGATCTTAGTTGCTTGTCAAACCCTCTTGTACAATGTTTGATTCCATAAATACTTATGGATAGACATTTCTTATAATTCTTATTTTATTTCTTTTTTAAAAAGACTTGCTAAAATCAGAACATTATTAACACCTTTGTAAATTCTTATTTAATAAAGTTCCTGTCAATTTCTGAATGGTAACTTCTACAAATAGGTTAAAAAGTAAAAGATATCCATTTATATTCATTTTACCCTCAGGGATATAATTCAATAAAACACCCAATAATCCTAGAAAATTGAATTTTATTTTCAATAAATCTGGATAATTAAAAAAAACTTATTGTGGAATAATGACTTTCATACAAAAAGTTTAAATGCTTTTATTAACATATTGTACTTTACTGCAAGTTGATTTTATGAACACGTTTTAATCTCATTTTTCTTCTCTCTTTGAGGCTAACAGGAAGAGATCCTGTGTAAGAGATGAAGATGTAGGGGTGGGGAGGCCACAGGCAATTAAAGGCTCTCTGTGTTGGCCGTCACTCAGGAAACCTCTCTGGGCCCTGTGGTCCATGACTGATCTCTTCTAGTTTTCACAGCCCTCTGTCCTTACTGCTTAGCACTAAATAAAATCATACTTTGAAGTTGAAAGTGCTGGTTTACATTATTTATTTATGTCTGCTCTTTACTTCCAAATGTCCTTTTACAATGAAATTTCATTTTACAATGAAAACGTGAGCATTAGAAGGTCAAGAGTAACTCTATAATAAAAGTCAAATTATTCACTCTCTGTGAATCTGCTTTATTGGTCAAAAGGGTGTCTGAGCAAGTTAGTGTATTACACAGTCATCAAGCAGATTGTTATTATTATGGTCTTGGTCCTTATTTCTGTCTTTCCAGGTAGAAGCTGAAAAGCAGGCGAGCTCTGTATCAGAACTCTGAGTGGAACTCACTCTGCTCAAAACTGTCCCCTGAGTCCTGGGGTTGGAAGGAAGCAGGAAACGTGGTGGTGGATGAGACTGATGTTGGAGGGGGCAGAACTGAAAGAGGCACAGGTGTTTGCGTGAGTGGATTCCATCCCAAGGATTTTTAAAAAGTATTCTCTCATTACCTACTGCAAATTTTTAATGATTTTATAAATATTTTGTTCTGGACTGGCAAGATGGCTCAGCGGTTAAGAGCACCGGCTGCTCTACCTGGGAACTCAGGTTCAATTCCCAGCAATCACGACTGTCTGTAACTCCAGATTCTGGGGATCTGACACGTCACATAAATAACAGACAGGTGAGACAATGGTGCACATAAAATAAAAATAAATCTAAAAAATATTTTGCTCTCTATAAAAGATTAAATGTAAATTTTAAAATTCAAAACATAATACGATATATTCTGCGACTATCAGAAAACAGAAGTCAGGCAGTATTTTAAAGCCATTTATATTAGCAAGTCTTTCCAAATGGTCTATAAAGTTGACATTAGTATGTTTTAAAATTTTTATGAGAAAATGACAAGAACGTGTTGATGAATTTTGATGACACTTTAACTTCTCAAAACCAAGTCTATGGTTTAATCACATATTAAGTATAGATAAGTGTGCAAGGCACTAAAATACCTACTTCAGCCTTCTGTTTGTTTTTGATACAGGACCTTGTTATACATGTATTTGTTACACATCAGCCACTTACTTGCTATTCTCTTGTTTCAGCTTCCCATGTTCTTGTATTATAGACATACCCTATTTTGGACTAGTATTTCTCTTTATTTTCTAAAAGTTTTCTTAATTTTTATTTCATATGTATTCATGTTTTGCCCTCCTAGATGTACATGTATCACATGTGTGCCGAATCCACAGAAGGTAGAAGAGCATATCAGATCTCCTGGAACTGAAGTTCACAACTGGAAATCACAATGTGGATGTTAGGAATCAAACCCAGTTCCTATGAAGGAACTGCAAGTGTTCTTAACTATTAAGACATCTCTCCAGTCCTGATCTTCACTTTAACAAGTAGAAAGACATAGCCTAGTCAAACAAAAGACCAATAATGAATATTGAGTAAGTGCTGATATCCATATCTAAGTCTCTACCTGATATAACAAAAAATTAAATATGGCAAAACACACAAATATAAAATTTTCTGTCTTTGACATAAGTTTACATAGTTGCTAAACCAATGCTTAGACTCTTACTTCCTTAAGTACGTGACGTTCTCTCATAGATTTTTTTCCCCATTTGCCTTCTTCCTTTCCTTGGTCTCCACCATCCTATTCTGCATCTGGTTTTTCTAGACATCACATGGCAGTGAAACCATGGGCTAAAGTGGTTGTTTCTCCACTTTTACTCCTAAATTCTTTAATACCCACCCATGTGGCACCATGTGGCAACATCACTGTTATTTTTAAGATGGCACAGTGTGCTATGTTCATCTATCAAAAACACGTGGGCTCCCCTCCTCTCCCACTGGGATCCTCTCCTTTCTGTCTTCTAAGGGAAAATAAGAAATATAACAAATTAAAATACAATAAGATAACACAAAAGCTATCATATAGGAATGGGACAAGACTTAAACAGAAAGAAAAGAGGCCAAGAGAAGGCACAAAAATCAGATCCTGCTTCCTGGCCATCCTCAGCAATCTTAGGAAACACTAAGGTGGAAGCCGTGATACATACAGTGAGGGCCTGGTGCACACCCATGCAGGCCCTGTGCACGCAGGCTCAGCCTCTGTGAGTTTATGTGAGCTTTGATCATGTGTGTTTTGAGGGTCTTGATTTATTGGTGTCTTCCATCCCACCTGGCTTATGCCTTCTTTCTGCCGACTTTTCTGTGGGATTCTTAAGTCCTGAGGGGAGAGATTTAGTAGAGACATCCCATTTAGTGCTGAGTGTTCCACGGTCTCTCACTATCCGTATAATGTCTGTCTGTGGGTGTCCATATTTGTTCTTTCTTTTGTATTATCAAATCACTGTTATTCGTTGCTATCTGTGTATTCATAAATGCAGGACATACAAATATGTTTTCCTATTTTATACTGCAGGGAATCATGGAGCTGGCCTGGCCTGTCTTGAGAGGCAAACACTGCCTCAGACAGCGAAGCGCTGAGACTACTTTGTGTTTCTCCGTATGTTCCCTTGGAAGTCAAGGAATCGTGGCAGCTTGGCAGGACGATTATCTTAGATATTAATCTTGTGTACCCCATAAAGCTTGCAAACATCATTGTATCCTGGCAACTACACCTGTATTGATCCTGATGATTGCCACTATATTCTATTTCTTGATAAAGGTATAAAAAGTCTGATGGCTCCTAATAAAAGTGTTCCAGCCTCAGTCTTGCTGTGGCCTCTCTAACTGACCAGGTTTAATTCCCCGGGGCCATACTAACTGACCTTGGCCCAGTCACTAATAATGGGTATTTATACTATATGCTGCCTCTTTTTATGTAATTTAGTTTACGTGTTTTTACTTTTGGTGGTACCAAACGTTATTTATGCATATGCTGGAATGATAGCTGTACAGTACAGGACTTAACTATGATCAAGCTAGCTGGGAAAAATAAGCAGAAGAGAACTTCACACAACAAGTTCCTGACGCAAAGTGTCCAAAGCAATCATGTAGCTTTAAGTTGCACAATTATAAGCTACTTCTACTAAAATAAGGCACACACTATATTTCACTGCACAACGGGCATTTCATTATATGATTCATTTAATTATTTTAGAAGTAAGCCTAACAGATTTCTTGCCTTTAGAAGTGTGTTCCAAGTGTATGCTACTAAGCATTAAAGTATAAGACAAGTTTGAATAATACTACTGTATGCTTTGCATGTTTCCACAACAGTTATTCAAGACATCAAAAAATTCTAGCACTTTCTTTTGAAGGTTACTATTTCCTACTCATTACCACTTAAGTGGATTTGTTTCTAGGCTATTGTTTATGTGTTATTCTTATTTGCTTTGCATTTATAACTTACAACAACATAGAAACTTTTCACATTGTGAGATGCTGAACCATTCAAATACCCTTTCCTGTGTCCCTTTCTTCATCCCCTCTGCTATTGTCTTTGACGTGCTTGTTGTGGACACAGTGGGAATAACAAATACATTTCCTGTCCTTCTGGAGCTTGCGTTTTGTCAAAAAATATCAGCATTGTTCAGGGAAATGAGTAAACAGTGGAGAGAACTTCAGAAAAGAGGTTCCATGAAGGAACGCAAATGGAAATTGTAGCCAAGCCCAGGGGAACTGTCTGTTCCCTCTGAAACCACCCTCAATTGTTGCTGACAGTTGTAACCAGAGAAACAATGGGATGCTTTATCTCAGATAAAGTGCAGCTTTCGATTATTAGTTCTTTTTTATGTCCTCAACAATTACCTGCATCTTTATGTGAATATCAGTTTCAACTCTAAGTCTTTCGGATCCAATAATTCAAACCACGTGAAAACATTCAGCCACAGAACAATGAGGCCATCAATGATAGTACTGCTTGCTTCTGTGTGTGGTGCCAAAATTTCAAGATCCTGAGCAAACGGCACGATTTTTTCCCCTGGTTCCTTTATGAGGAGACTGTGGCAAAACCAAGCCAAGCTTCCTGGGTCAGATACAGGCTCTGTGCTGTCACTGGCACGAGACATAACTTTCATTTTTCAATTGTGTAGGGTCCAGATGTGGGAATGACATCACTGGATTCCGGAAAAAAGGAATGAAAGTTTCCTAGTTGTACAGACAGTGCCTCAGCTGATTGCACTGGCCTAGCCGTCTTTGTTTCTAGCATTGTTTTTCTTTTTCTTTTTCTTTTTTTTTTTTTGTCTTGGAGGACAGTGTTACTGCGGAATGGGGCAATTTAGTCTTTACAGTGAAGTAGATTCCATTTTTGTTGATCAAAATCACAAGGCATGCATTTTCCAGATAAAAATTCGTCAGCACTTTTGTTTTTGTTGTAGTTTTATGAACCATGCACTTTTTATTTATTATTTATTATTTATTTATTTATTGCAAATTTCAAGTATAGTTAAGGACAAGAGAATCCAAAAAGCTACAAAAATAGAAGACAATTAGGAAGTATGTGTTTTCCTTGTGCAAATGGGTTGCAGGTATTTCAGTCTCCTATTATAGAGCACCAACTTACAAAGAAACATCTTTAAACGTACTTTAAAAGAAGTCAATGTAATATGATTTAAGCTTTTAGTTAAGAAAAGATCTCCACAAAATATTTACCACCTGACGTTCTCAGGGGACAGTGGGAAGTGCTTGTTTCTGTTTTCTGCACATTGCTCCTCTCTCTGGCACCTTACATGCAAAACAGAAAACTTCTGATTAAGATTCAGTGTCTCAAGAAAGCAAAATTTCAAATATTCCAATTAGGATGGGACATCATTACACCCTGGAAACCAGTCTACAATACGCTACCTGGAAACCAATGAACAAGGATAAGTGATGAAATTCTATTTGATCTTCTTCAATTTGAGGTTCAGTGATTCATGTTTCATCCTCAATGAGAGGAGAGAAAGCATTAAGTGCCCAGCCATACTTTTCTGCCCATTACAGTGACCAAAGCAACTTAAAGGCAAACCTAATATAAACTAAATTTAACCCAATTCAAACCAAACTGAAATTAGGACAAACCAAACCAAACCACACCGAAAAGTGTGCCAAACTATAGCAGAATTGTCAAGGACTTGTAACACCGGCCTCCAGCCTGCTGTAGACAGGCACCCTCTTTGCAAACCATGGGACACATTCTAGCCCAGCCACAGGTCCCAAGCTTCCTCCACTGTTGTTAGAATGAAGAATGACTTCTGTGGCTGGGCTGTAGGGCAAAGTCCTTGCTCACTCTCTTTCATTAAGAAGAGAGGACAAAAGAAGAAGTGGCTATCCTATGTCATGGAGGTAGTTTTCACACATTGTTTCTGCTAGTGTTAGGGCCGTTTTCTCCCCCATAGAAATGAAGAGCTGGCTCCAACACCCTTTTGCATTTCTTCTTTTTTGAGCTATTTTGATAAGTTGCTCAGGTCGAGTGTCAGGAACATTTGCCCAGTTGAGCCTGCTGTTCTGAGGTGCCAGGGACGAGTTGATGGGAAAGTTGATAGATGTGAGTTCACCACTCTGCAAACAACAAGCCAATAGAGGTACCAAGTATTTCCCAGGTTTAGGTGCCTCCCGTCAGGCTTATACACATGGCTCTCAGCACTTCTAGTTCAAATATTGCTCAGATCTAAAATTGACAAAAGCATGACCTGAGACCTGAGAGTCACCATATTTGAAGCAGGACAGCATTTCTAATAATCTGAGAGAAAACCTTGAGTTGTTCGGCACTGGGAATTTGCAGGAGATAATAAAACTTGGGAGTCTGCTGTACTTTGAATGCCTCCTCCAAGACTCATGCTGAAATAGAATAATCGGAAGAAGTTGAACAGTGATCAGGTCATTTGGATTTGAGATCCACGAATAGACGACTGCTGATTCTGAGGAGCTAGGGCAATTGTCACAGGAATAGGGTTCAGATGTAAACGATGGAAGTGGCTTGATTTTCTCTCTCCTACCTGTGCTGGCATGCCCTTCTACCAGACTGTGATGCAGCCTGATGGGCCTCACTAGATGCAGCATTAGCCTCTTGAATTTCCCATCCCTTAGGACCATAAGCCAAATATGCTTTTACTGTTGAGAAATTCCCAGTCTAATGTGTTTTATTATAGCAACAGAAAACGGCCCAAGACAGGCTCTCTCATAAGGAGGTGAAGGAAGCAATGAATAAGTGTTCATGTGTATTTTCGCATGTATTCATCATCGTGAAACTGCCGAGAACATGTCAGTCTTGAGTGTAGAGAAAGTTAAAGGGGAAACAGACACAGTGCAAGTCATGATTGCAACTCCGGAGCAGAAAGTAATTGGTTATCTCTCGTTTTTTTTTTTTTTTGACCTCTATCTGGTTGGTAAAGGCTATACTGGACTGCTGTGTACAGACTTGCTCCTAGGGCTCTGATATGACAACCCACAGCCATCATCAGAATCACTACTCCCCTGTCACCGACAGTCAGTTGTTTACTTAGGTACCTGCCATACACAGGTGTGATCCAAGCAATGCGACGCCATAGAAACAGCTGAATGCCCATGCAGCTCTCATGATTCTGCAACCGGCTGTCATGACCTCTTTCTGATCAGGTCTCTCGAAACCTCAGGCTCACACACTTCATTCTGGAATAAGCAGAATGTTATCTGGTTTCTGTGCATCACCTCGACTGAATGTGCCATTCTTGTTCCCGGTTCTCATGAGGTTAGAGAAGGCAATAAAATGCGTTCAAGTTATCCCTTCTCTGCTGGAGAGAAGTCCAGAATAAATAACCAATGGAAAAAATTAATTTTGCAGAGGTTTTAGGACCAGGGAAGGCTCAGATGAAGTGTGAGGAGAAAGCCTTGCCAGGCTGAACGAGGAGTAAGGGATTTGCCATTTGTGAACAGGAGTAGACTTGTGGTGTTGGAGTTGTGGATGGGTAGTTGTAGGAAGAGAGGGAAGATGGGTGCAGAGAACTTGGGTAAACTGGGCTGCAGAGGACTCGTGAGGGATCTGGGCTGGGATGACACTGGGGAGCCTAAGAGGGGGAGGAGATAAATGGTTTGTTCTAGAAATGCAAGGCATGATTTGAATGTAATTGGAGTCTATCTGGATAATGTCTGCAAAGGAAATAAGATCAAATGATCAGGCTTCTTGTGGAAATAATTAATTTTATGACAAAGCTATTTTCAGGTGGAAAATGAGTAAGTAGAAATGGGGAGCTGAGTGGCGGGGGGTCTTGTGAAGGCATCTTCTCGCACAGAAGTTTCCTTTGAGTTAAAACATTCACTTCAGGAGGCAGAGAGGATGCTTATGAGACTCAGGAAGTAAACAAACTTTGCACATCCAGGAAAACCACAGCTTGCAAGAATAACAAGAAGAACCCATCCTCGCTGTTAAGAACTAGTCAGGGTCTGGAAAGGGAAAGGATGACCAGATGAGTGGCAGAGAGGAATTCTTGGACTGAGAGAGCTGCCTGCCGGTTGTGCAGAGGTTGCTGCTCCCATGAGTCTTCAGTCTGTGCTACTGTAAGCTTTACAATGCCACAACTGCATTTAGTTCCTCCCTGCTTCTGTTAGTCACCCCAATCAAACTCATCGGTTTAGCAAGTTGGATGTTGGTGCAATTGTTGCTTTGTACTGGGTTCTCTTTCTGGTATGGCTTGAGACTCCCCAGGAGAAGTCTCTGTCTCGCCATCCCAGGGAAATGCTTGGCAGTGGCAGGCGCCCAGGGAGTACCTGTCCAGGTTAACGC